CCTAGTAAAGAGCAGTAAAGTGAGCATTCCTTGTCTACTTCTAAGTGGATTTTTTTCTTCCTTCACCACCTTCAAGTTGAATTTCCACTACAAGGTCCATCTATAAAACTAATATGTATTACAGCTACTATCTAGAGGAAGATTGAACCAGTGTAGGCAAAATGAAGTAGACGAGTGGACTTCAGCATTCTCATACAATGACCCAAACGGAAATAGTGAATTAAAATCTGAGAACAGCAACGACTCAGAGTGTTGCAAGGCAAACAATGCTACATCAAGCAGCTATCCTTTGCAGTTTGAGCAATTGCTTTTAATAAAACGATGCCATAAACCCAAAAGTGACGTAGAACTGACGCGATGTGCGAAGAACGCAATGTAATGACATCGACATGAATTACTTGGAACCAATTACACTTGCAATCATCATAGTTGCCAGCAATCAAATAGAGTCTGCCCTAGTCTAATTCTGCTTTGTTCGTCTTTTCTTGTAACACTTCATTCCTCTCCTCAATGCCGACAAAAAGTGTAATTTGCACGGTGCAGTTTAATAAACGTGGGAAAAGGACTCGTTTCGATGCGGCCGGACGTGCCCTGGACTTTGTTCAATTGCCACAAACACTCGAACCCACTCTTCCGTACAAGGCATTTCAATTTCTCCTCCACCTTCGTCGTGTTTGAACATTTTGTTGAGAGAAGTTTGGAATGTTAGAAAGAAGTGGATATTTTGGACTGAAACTATGAATCACTAAGTGCTGCAGTACAATGCACGCATTCAACGTTGGTAAATCCACAAAAGTGCAAGAAACCTACCATGAACTTTGGTCGACAACATGATTTATCGACATTATGGACGGTTTGAAGGCTCCATTTCCCCATGTGGGTTTAAATGCCCATACTTTGCCCATGCCATTGGGTTAGTCACTCTCCCCACGTGTCGCTTCATAAGTTAATAAGGTTCCAACGCTTCACACGACCAAAAAGCAAACACTGAGAGGTGAACAATCAGGATGCTACTGGATATTTCCATAACAAAGTTGCATTCTTCTTCCCCATGGAAGAAAAGTACGAAAGTTTGTGGTGTGCTACAAAATAAATATTGAGATTCCCAAGTGGTTTGCCTTGTCGTAAATTTACAAGTTCAAAAGTCCAGAGGAGCTGACACCAAAGCGGTATGAAATTACTGAAAAATAGCGTTGGCATACTCTCCTTGCAACCAAAAAAGAAGAGCTGAAATAATTGTTTTACTTAAAAATCGCGAGTAAATCACAGGCAAGAACAAAGTATACCAAAATCACTACAATACAATTTGTTGTTTGTTGGAGAAGACAACACAAAGTAGGGAAATGGCTACAGGCATGAGATGCAGGAACCTAAGAGCGATGGACGTAGGATGAGACAGTGGATGCGGTAAATGCAACACATCTTGAGAACAAGAGACGGAGATGAGGTTGGAGGAGAGCGCTTGGTTCACAAAGAAGGTACTCCTAGCAGAATCGGCACGACTCCAAGCCCAGCTGGTTGAGACGTCGCTCTAGCAGGTCCAGTGTTGTACGCATCTGAAAATTAAATGACTCTTTACATAGAAAGTCGCATTTTATGTTGCAAAGTTCGTTAGACTGAAGCGGTTCTTTTAACGTCATCTAATATAAGCCAACTCTTACAAGGATTGATGTCAAGCGATAGCAGATAACAAGAGGATTCACGCTACTCGTTCAAAGCAACTCCAAACATGGTCATCGTGGTGAATCCTTGCGCACATCAAGGCAACAAATAAGCCGAAACTGCATAAAATCTTAATGAGTAAAAGAGTGTTACAGAGACGGGGGAGTCCTTTGAGCATTGGCTCCAATGGAGATGAAAAATTAGCTGTACGCCAGACAAGAGTGCAAAAATATTTCAGCCGCCTCAATAAATTGGAAACAAATCAGTCGATAAAACAGCAACAGCTTTGATCCTGATTGGCAATTGTCTAAGATAAATGCTAGTGGGATAAAAACATTCGTTTCAACTCATACCTCGTTCACTGACATACCATTCAAAACGGAGTAGCTCTCCCACAATAGGAGTGGTTGCGTTTATCAGACGCGCGTTTGCATGAGCAATGAAGAAGAATGCACGTTTCATAGTGAGGAAAGTCAGAACTAAAAAATAGCGCCTTTGAACCCTAGCATTGATCAAGGTACTGGCAGCAATACGTCTGCACATGCATTTGCACAAGTACTGAAGAGCTCAACTAATGTGCCAGTTTGGTTGGCTTAGCACACGTTACGCTCGATGGATTAACCCCATATACAATACTACCTAAGGATACTGAGAAACACTTAGCACCACTGTTGTGAGAGGAAACTGGTAAAGGTAAAAACAGACTAAAGTCAAACCATAAAAAATAATATTTGATTATCGCAGCAGTAAAACTAAAAAAATTTGGAAATAGAAACACTGCGGGTCACGTAGTCAGTAATGAGCACAAATTCGAAAACCTCCAGTTTTGCCAGAGATTCCAGGGCCCTTCAGGCCTTAAAATATGCATACAGAATTCCAACGACCTTTGCTAGAATTCAGAATCACGAAATACATACTGAAACCAAGGTGTAAAATTCATAAAATCAGAATATAAATTCCACTTAACTTCAATTTTATACGAGTGGAGAATTAAGCTGCAAAAGTCTTCATAAAATGGAGAATAAACCAACATTCGGACTGTGTGTCCAAAATAGAAAAGAAGAGGTACAGTGGCGTACCTGAGCAAGAACACCCGACACTGACTCGACAAGCAACCGAACCGATGTGAGTTCATCGCAGCAGGAAGAGCCTGATCTCGACGCCCGGGTAGTAAATTCGAGAGGGTCTGAAGCTATTCGCTCAACTCTTTGATAACGATTGTAGACCATTGAAAGAAATACACACAGTCCAAGACTCCTAAGAAGTTTAGATTGCTATTTTTAAACGTTCATTAATAAGAAAACCTGACCATTTCCCAGTAAATAATACAACACTTTTATACAGCTATCCGAAATCGTGAAATTAATTCCCGTTAAAACCGGGTATACAAATGTAACTTAGCACAAAGGAGGTAAAGGTGACTTAGAAGTGGTCTACAAATGTTACTTATAAATCTTGTAAGCGCTCAAATGCCAATAGACTTGATCTCACTTAAGTTATGGGCATTTAAGCTTAATACTTCCAACTTGTCGTCTGCCAATGAGCACAAAAAACAAGTCGCTCATGGAAGACATGTGCATTGAGGCTCACATAGCGATGACGAAGAGCCACTTCTTATCGGATTGCTGGTTAGAATAGAGCAGCACTTGTGGAATGGAGAGGCCGCGTGGTATCTGCTGCACTCCAGTTCCAGAGCCCGAGATAAATGTACTCCCGACGTCCCCTGCTTCCTCACCTCCACTGCCACCACTGCCATCTTCCTCAGTTTCAAGTTGAGAGCGAATGACTCGCGGTCGGTGAGGACGAGAGAGAGCACCACCAGTGATGCGTTCGCGGTCTGAGAGGCGAGACACTGCGGCTGAGAGATGGTTCACCAGATCGGTGAAATTGTCCGTTAGGTTAGACCTGCATGTGCTATCGATTATTGACTTGGCACCGAAGAAGACAGGGCGATCGTAGATCACTTCAGAAGTGATCAGGAGATGGGAGACAGTGGCGCTGCGGCGCAGGAGGCAGTATCGTGTAGTCACGTGGAAGGAGTTACATAAGGGTACCGCCTCGTTTGTCACTGTAGCATCCACCACGTAACGCATCCCAGGACGTGTTTCTCGCAATAGAATAGCCTTAAAATATCTCTTAAGTTATTATTACGAAGGCTCGTTTTAGGTTGAACAGAGCTACGAGGAATGAATTTTGGTCCAGAAAGGATGATAGTGTGGTAACTTTTGTTCTTAGACGGTAGCTATCTGGCTTAAGGCTAAAGCATAGAGAAGACACAACGTCAAAAGTTCAATTCGTGTTTCAGTAAATTAGAACTTGACGATCATTGACGATAACGATTCTCGGGAAAAAAAAAACACAAATAAGTACAGATTGGCTTGCGATCAGTAAAAGCAAAAGTTTGTCTTTCAAGTTATTGACATTGTTCCTAGTAGCCTTTCAACAATTGCTTTCCGATTGTAAAAGGTGTCACTTTATAGTGTATGTATTAAAAGTGAACCTGGAATGAATAAGATCATTGAATTACACACTTAATGAGTCGCCTCATCCTTCAACACGCACAACTGGTAAATCAGACAGCAAATGTCAAAGCCACGTAATGAGGATGGGTAGAGGGAGAGGATGGCAGTAAAAGAATTAAGGTCGTCTACTAACTTGGCTTTCAAAAGCTCTGCAGGTGCGAGGACCAAGGCGCTGTCTAAGAGTAAGAACGTATGAGATCTTGCGATGGAGAGTGGCATCGCCAGTGATGGGTGCAGGCCACGGCTTGGGTGGCCATCGGCTCTGTTCTACGTCGAAGGTACCTCGGTGGGCGCAGAAGCTTGCAAAAAACTGAGAGTCTGTGAACAGACAGGCGAAGAGGCCATCAACAGAAATATTAATATCGGTGTCTGCATAGGTGCGCCCCGGATGCTTG